GACTTTTTTCCAATTTTTCTTGTGGGGCTGGCAAGAGTGCACCTTCCCCTTCCCCCTCCTTTCTCTCCCCTCCCAGTCCCTGCTACTCTGCACAAATCAGATGGACTGGCACTTCCCCCTCTCCAACCAAACATACAGCATTAATTCTGACCTCTGGAGGATTTGAGTGAATGAGGGTTGGGGGTGGCCTGGGCGTCCAGCCTGGGAAACCCAGAAAGAAAACAAAGAAAGAAGGAAGAGCCCTGAGTGAGGGGAGGAAGCTGCTTGGAGGACAGCCAGCTGCTTGCAAAAGGGGACTCTTGTAAACTCTCAGCCTGGAGCTGACAGGACAGCTGAGGACACATGAGCAGCATACCACCCTGAGCTCACAGTGCACGCCAGCACCTTGCCAGAGAGCATGGAGAGTGTGGACTGACCTAAAGGGGGAAGGGGATTGCACTGGCACAGAGCAGAGAGTCTGTGTATCTAGCCAGGTGTGGGGGTGGGAAGAGCTGTTTTGCTATATGCTGTGCCCAACTCTGTGTAACCCCTGCTAGAGAGCTTGACTTGGGGCTGCTTCTGGCTTTGCCCGCATTAGATAAAAGTGTTGTTCTATTCTTAAGTGTGATGCTTGTTAGGGGTTAAATCTAACACACACACACACACACACACACACACACTCACTCCCTGCAGGGCGAGTCAAGTGTTTGTGCCCAGGTGCATGGCTGGGACCTGGGACCCCTTCCCCAGTCGTGGTAGCCCCCCACCTGATACTCATGTCACTTTGGAAGTGGGATAAACTAAACCAGAAAAGGGCAGTCTTGTTCTGGGATAACAATAAGCACACCGTGAGTTATACCAATATAATTATCGCTATATAATTATACTGATAAAATTTCCCATGCAGACAGGCTCTTCATTTGTCAACATTTACAACTAGCAGTTGCAGGAAGAGAATATATAGCTAGATGCTTTGTCAAAATCCTCCTATATGCTATGGAAAAATACTGTGTGCCTAAAAGAAATATAAAATATGAGAGGTATGTTTTCAGTAACTGTGATCAAAATAAAACTGAAACTAGACCAGTATGCAGCCAGGCTGTCCCACTTACTGTCATGCACATTTGGCTCACTTGCAGGTGAACTTGTTAGAAGTCATATACCGGTAGTTTTGAACACCCAAGAAAAGGTCAGAACACATATGCCGCCACAGTCTTGAGTTGGAATTTAAATCAGGCTGTTGACATCTGCGATAGCAGTGAAGAAGTAAAGAAACAGCTACAAAAATTTAAAGCATTAAAAATAATGGAAGACATATCCTATCCCCTAGAACTGGAAGGGACCTTGAAAAGTCAT